CATCTGGTGGGGGAATTGAACCAGCGACTCTTGGATCTGCAGCCGAGCACACTAACCACTACTCCAAACAGATAATAATCTGATTGGTGGGGCGAGTAGCAGCTATTTGTTACAAAGTCTCGATTGCCCAATTTGATTTAATTACAGTGAAACGGATTAGTGGAGGAAAAAACAGGTGATGACTGCGTGTGTGGCGGGTGGTGGGCCGGCTCGTGTGTGGTGGGTGGAGTACCGGCCGTTTTGTGATTCTCCAGATCACACAGATGGCCAGTCCGCCCCTGACTTTGTGTGTCACAAACCTTAAGGTAAAGGGTCTAGAATGAGCGAAACGCAGAGCTTTCTTCACGTTCGTGGTTTTTATTTTGACAAGAAAGAAAACACAACAACAACAAACAGAAAAAAAACAGACACTGATGAAAACAAAATGCGCTATACAGGGACTTACTAAAGCGAAACAATACAGCAATCTATATATGCAAATAACACTAACCTAAATTGGACATAACATGAAATAGGCAACTTAAATACATCCACTAATTACTAAACTAAAAACGGGTGTGCGTAATGAAACCTATCCAAAATGAAAGTAATATTAGGACAACTAACATACGTCCTCAACCCTGTTACAATGTGCTTAACATCAAGTATCCTAAAAGTGTAGCATTTATTCTAAAATGTACAAGTGTACACTATTTAACAAATCTTTCAGGATTTAACTGGGTTTTATACTTCACTTCCAGAATACATAGCATCAGTCAAACATCTTAGCATTAAATATTGAACATGTTTTTTATTCTGCACTCAGGACTTTTAACTGCTTATGTAATTATACAAGCAGAACAGTTTTTATGTTCTCACAATTTCTACAACTGGTTACAAAAGTCAACTTGGGATCAACCCAGAAGAAGGGTGGAATGCTGAAGCAAACAAGAAGAAACAACACCATCTCTCTCCAAAGCTGCTAAATTCGCTGACTATAGTGACATTCAAAATCCATTTAAAATTTTACATGTGAAAACATTTCATTTTGATATGGAGGATTGGGCAGTAATTAATTAAATGTAGCCAGTTACAAGAACATTATAAATGTCATCAACTAATTGGATTACAGATACTTTGGAAAAATGTATTTAATTCATAGTTTTTTCCGAAAAAAAATTCTATAGCTTTTGCAACTTAGAAACTGCTGTCATCAACTTGTCAACATGAAAACACCGTTCTTCAGAAACTTCTTCACACTAGAAGCGCCAAGGCACTGACACCCACCTCTTTCGCGGTTATGTGTCATTTGACCCATGCGTGTTTTGAATAGGAGAATGTTGCTGACCCAGAATGACCAGTAGATGGCGCATCTAGTTCATCCGTGCATCAGAAGGACCAGGCTGTTGTAAAATCACGATGGTGCATGAAGTGAAACCAAAATCTTAAAACCTTCTGGCAAATAAATATAGATGGCCTAAAAGAGTCTACTATTATTTAATAAGTGCACATAGATTTAGGGCTTTATGGTAACATATTACCACAATAATTATTTACAATTACAAATGTCCTGCATGGTGTTGGGCTGTAAGCACAACCCCGACCTGTGGACGTCGGGCCCTCATGGAGTCTGTTTCTGACCGTTTGAGCAGACACATGCACATCTGTGGCCTGCTGGAGGTCATTTTACAGGGCTCTGGCAGTACTCCTCTTGCTCCTCCTTGCACAAAGGTGGTGGTAGCGCTCCTGCTGCTGGGTTGTTGCCCTCCTACGGCCTCCTCCACGTCTCCTGGTGTACTGGCCTGTCTCCCGGTAGCGCCTCCATGCTCTGGACATTACACTGACAGACACAGCAAACAATATTTTTTGTCCAATAAAACAACATTTAATTGAACTGATATACAGCATACACATAGCTAATGTTGCAAATGACTATTGTTGTTTGAAACAACAATTCTATGGAATATCTACATGGGCGTACATATGCCAATTACCAGCAACCATCATTCCTGTGTTCTAATGGCACATTTTGTTTGTTTCATTTTCAAATGCTAACTGATAATTAGAAATGCATTTTCAATTAAAGTAGCACAGCTGAAAACTGCAATAAAAATGTAGACTTGTTGAGTATCTGGAGCATCAACCATTGTGGGTTCGATTACTGGCTCAACATGACCAGAAACGACTAATATTTTGTCTGGTCTTGTTCTGAGGAATGACAGATATTCCATTTAGGACATTGCCAAGAAACGGAATGTTTCATGCATCGCTGTGTACTACTACCTTCACAGAACACCGTAATCTGGCTCTATTCATAACAGAAAGAGTGGGAGGCCCTGGTGCATAACTGAGAGGGAGGACAAATATATTAAAGTGTCTAGTTTGAGAAACTGATGCCTCAGCTGGTAGCTTCATTAGATAGTACATGTAAAACATCAGTCTAAACATCACAATGGGATACTGGCCTTATAGGAAGAGTTGCAAAGAAAAAGACATTTCAGACTGGACAATAAAAACAAAAGATTCAGTTGGGTAAAGGAACAACGGCACTAGACAGAGGAAGATTGGGAAAATGTGTTATGGACAGATGAATCTAACTTTAAGGTAATCACAAAGAATCACATAGAAGAATGTTTGAGACGCAGACCAAATGAAAAGATGCTGGAGGGGTGCTTGACGCCATATGTCAAGCATGGTGATAGCAAAGTAGTAATTTAAAATGGGAGATTTGAAGAAGACTTGAAGAAGGATGACCATCACTCCATCATGCAATGCCATGCGGACAGCACATGATTGGAATAGATTTACTCCTACAACAGGACAATGACCCAAAGCACAGCTCTGAACTATTCTGTGTTTTGTTCCTATAATAGAGTGGCCAGTAAAGTCACTGGATTTCAACCCAACTGAGCTGTTGTGGGATCAGCTTGACCATATGGTACCTAAGAAGTGCTCATAAAACCAATCCAAGTTGTGCGAGGTCCTTCAGGAAGCATCGGGTGAAATCTCTTTAGATTACTTCAACAAATTGACAACTAGAATGCCAAAGTTCTGCAAGGTTCTAATTGCTGAAAATTGCGGATTCTTTTACAAAAGCACAAAAGGACAAAGTTATTATTTCAATTAAAAATCATTATTTCTAACCTTGTCAATGACTATGTTTCCTATTCATTTTGCAATCTTTTTCATTCAAACTACTTTCATATTTGTATTCATGGATAAGAAGGACATTTATTTGTTGTGACCTGAAACTTTTGATTGATAGCATAAATATATCTTCTTTCACTTCACAGAAGTTCAACACAAACAGCCAGTGATTTCTGGGAGCTTTTGAGCTATGAACAAATTGTACACGTACACATACAGGCACACAAGCGAGGTCACTGTCAAAATGGTGTTACTAACCTGGAAAACAAAAGCCCTCCAGGTATCCTACATTTCCCAGGTTCCTGTAGCAATAGCCATAGGCCGAACTGCTTGAGTATTTAGAGAGGTACTCGCCCACTTAACAGTAAATGCCAGGGCCGAGGCCAGCAATTTTTTCGCTGATCTAATTGCCCTGTATGTTTAAACAATCACATGAGAGGTGAACGCCTCTGACAAGTCAGCCACTAGCAATCAAATTATTTGACTAACAACGTTACCTTGGAGCCATATAACGCCATCACAAGTGAACTGATGCATGAGCTGTCACGGTCATGAGGAAATCAAATGAACACAGCACGGGGGTAGTGGGGCGCTGCACTCTTAGGGGATTTGACAACACTAAAGCATGCAAATAACGCAAACATGGTTTACAAGGCTCCCTCATATGTCTCCTAGTGCAAGTCTATGTTTTAAATAAATATATAGTGTAGCTTTATATGAATTGGCCGTATCACTTTTCCCAAAGTTGCTTTATTTCTTCATCTGAAACAAAGTAAGAACTTCACAGGCAAACGAAAGTCAGTGAAAAGAGTATGAGCATTCAAATTGACCTGTGCTTTGCAGGGATCTTGTTAAAAGCTTGTTTCTGTTCACTGGTGGAAAAGTGCTTCCACTGCAGCTACAGAGCCCCCACCTGACGCAATAAACCATTAGCAAGAATATCCCCCCTGGAGATGGAATGAGCAAAGAGACAACGAACGGTGGCCATGTAAGGTGCTGACACTTCCTAATGAAGAAACCGAAATGCAAAGCCCAGCCTCTAATCTAATCTTGGTGAGCATTGCATTTGGGGCAAGTCTGCTATTGACATTATTGGGGGCCATAAATCACGGCTGCACCATAGTTTAAACGGCCGCTACCTCAGCTGATGTGAGCATTCACAATCTGCTTTCAGGTCATGGGTGCAGTGGAGCACAGCAATTCAGACGCTACAGTAACCACAGACCAACGGGCAGACGTAGGCTGGGCAGTGTGTCCCCTGTCTCACACACTCACACAGAGACACGTGCACGCACACGCACACGCACACACCAATGTGATCCCTAGCCATGCACATACACAGATACGCTTGTGATAGACAGCAAGGCAACAAAGCATCCCTCACGTGCACACACACATGTACTCGCTCCACACTCACTTGGGCCCCTCTGACCATCAGCTCCTGCAGAGACAGGGGTCTGTTAGACGTGAACTGAAAAGGCGCCGTTTATAAACTGTCATTGGTTCAACGGCGGCACACTGTGCATCCTGCCCGACTGGGAAATACGTGTCGACATTTGAAACATCCGACCTCGCTTTATTCATTTCGCGCTGCAGAAAAGCCTACTGCATTTAGAGGCTCCAGAGTCAAAGGTTTCAATCATCTCTTGTCATGACAATGAGATTTAGGAACCAAGGTCAGAAGCATACATGAACATCAGTTCACTGATGACAGTAACCATGACGATAACCATGTTCCAGTCAGGTAAAAAAGAAGCCAGCTAGTGCTCTATGATGACAAACAGACCATGTGACGGACAAGTGCAAAGTCCATTGTCTTTTTACACTTTACAGTGTTTGGTTGTAAGAGCCTAAACAAATGAAGTGTGTCTACATTTCAGGATGCAAAAAAATATATGCATGTTAAAAGTTCAATATTTTAACAAAGTCTAATCACTAGATGAACTG